TTTTTTCGGTGTTGTAACATTTTCCTGGCTTTGTCTCTTTTACAGGAGTCTATGCTTTTGGATTCCTGCTCATGACACCACAATTGTTTATCAACTACCGGCTGAAATCTGTTGCTAGTCTTCCTTGGAGAGCTTTAACCTACAAGGTAAGCTGAGAAAGGAGTTATGTTGAAAGTTTTTGCCGATAAAGTTCGGAACCCCTCTCAATACAGCTGACTCTACGGTGAATTCCAGGAAAATTAGGGTTAGCTTTGAGATTTGGGTTCAGACATGCTGTCTGAAGTTGGATTGTTTCCGTCGAGAAAACATTGTTGCCAAAATTTTTTGGTGCCGGCTACGGCTAGTAAGAACTACACATTCAAAAGCGTCAGACACTCCATAAGCACCTTATGTAGGCGAAAGCCCTTGTAATATAGCAAAGTCGTTTCACTGTCATGAGCGAACGTTGTTACACCATAGACCGATATTGTATCCTTAGAGATGAGGTATATAAAATTGTCGAAGGAATAGGCTCATGAGATCTTGCATGATCCTATTCTGTCCGCCCGGCAGCTGGAATGATAGCGATGACTTTATTTTGAAGGGTTTTCTACTCTAGGATGGAATTGACAGACTTTAGAAAACCTATCCGCCTCTAGGTAATTGCCTTTGCGACTCATGCCATTTTCGGAGTTTTGGCTCTGTGTTTTTGTAAGCGGCAAACTATGTTCCTTCGCTTTGGGCACCTGAGCAATATAACTCAGTGTTTGGTATCTACCCTGCTCTAGATTCCTGCTGGGCAGGGGGGTGGTTAAGTTTGGGGTTACCATAAGGGATAGGACACGGGAATATGTACCCATGCTAGAATTAAGCGCAAAGTCACAGGCTGTGCGCATGGAAGATGAGCGAAAATTGCCGGTGTTTGATCACAATTACTTGAGGACTATCCTTTGAGTGAAATACACTGAGTTCTCATATTGGAAAGTCCGTGCTCATTTCAACATCATTGCACTAATAAAATTGGCCTTTCCATAAAAACGGCTGAGATGGTTTGGGCACTTTCTTCTTCCACTTCGTAAGCTCGCTGTTATTGTCCTCAATCTGACGCCGTTACCCAGTTCGGCGCGTGAAATAGCGGGTCCATTCAAAACCTGGCTCAACACAATTCGCCAAGAGATGGAAATTGCTCTTGGGCTTTCAATAGCCGGTGCCCAGTGTTGGCGAAGAAAATGCGTTACACTGTCCCGACCTGTTGTTGCAAATCGTCAAGCGTGGAGAGGGACAACGCTGATCATCGAGGCCTGCCAAACCAGGCATGATCGCAGCTAAACCAAGTAAAATTACTACTTCCGTGCCCAACCCTCACTAGCATTGGTTTCTATCGATTCATAGAAACAGTAAGTAAATGTGAGTAAGTAAGTAACCAGGTAAGACTACGTATTTCCGTGCTCAACCCTCATTAGCATTAATTTATATAGATTTATAAGAATTGCACACAAACCAATGAAAAAAAGTGTTTCTACCCCTCCTATGACTAATCGTAAAGCTTCTGTGTTGCGCATTTTTTTTGCAAGGAATGTTTCCAAGGTATTTCATGTGAAATCATGAACCTCCAAGTTGGGCTGTCGCTACAGTATCACTGGCCAGTTCTGTTCTTTGTTGCAAACGAAGATGCTAGTGTCGTTTCAAACTTTCGTCCTTTTCAGTTTTCATTTAAACTAGTTTCTATCGATCTACACTTCTTAAAAAGCGCTGTTGTTTCGGCGGTTGACGAGCGGGAGCACTAAGTATACTTTTGCATAAATTATGTACGGCCCAGTGCCTACAGCTGGTTGTCATTAATTCACACTAAGAAAGAACCGTGCTACCGTGCTATTCCCTTACCAGGACCTAGCACAACGGCAATAATGAGCGGGAAAGGCATAGCTATTTCCACGGCGCGGTATGTCCATTTCGATTTTTTGCCTACAAGTTAAATTAGGGGTCATTTATGATTATATTTGCCCAATTGGCAGCCCTCGAAGAGGCTGTTGTGTGCATGCTTCTGTTTACTCCTTTCAATGCTTATTTTTGAGTTGCTTGTTTTTATGAATGCTAGGAAAAAATAAAAACCCCTTGACGGCAGCTATCAACGATGACATTTTTTTGTGAAAAATTGTCTGCTCTTTTGATGTATAGAATGATGCCTTTTCAAAATTATTTTGCTTTTACATCATCCCTATAAAGCATTTCAGAATTAATCCGTGGTTTTTTTCCGTATCATTCACCACCGTCACTAAATCAACTTGAAAGTCAACAACTGTTTAGCGCTTGCTGTATAAAGTAAACCTTTGTTAGATTGTTTTGCAGGAAGCCCTTGAGCTCAAGTCAACATATGCAAAACTTTCATTCTTCGGTAACGGCTTGGGTCGTGGAAATTCCAAATTTGCCATTACTATTCTTTTTTAAACCGAAGGGTACCATTCTATTGAGCATTACATTTGAAAAAGACCCACCCACAAGTGGCCTTACACCGAGCTCCAGTAATAATAGGGATAGAGTTAAGTTAGTGCTAAGATCAAAGGGGGGGTTGCGGTTAAGTTGAGAACTGAGTATAGGTTAGATTTAGAAATCAGGAATAGGTAATCTTCCTGGAATTTAGTACAATGCTACCTGTGTACTGGTTTTTGGAGATTGAAAAATTTACCCTCATTCGCCTACTTACTTTATGATAGGGAAATTTTCAGAAGTCACATTACCCCGTTGGTGACTTCAATTAAAATCTTTCAAAAATCCCAATAAAATGCGTCCATGGTGTTGTTAACAACATAAACTTGTCTGTACGTTGGAAAGATTAAAGTCGAAAAATAACCAGATAGTGTTCTGTGCTGTAAAATCCATTCATATCCATTGTCTTTATAGGTGGCCAGTTGTCGGGCCTTCCGATAAAACTTCAACAGACATGCCGACATTTACAACTTACTGTATTTGTTGCACAGATATTACTTACCAAACATAACTTTTCAGTCGAATGTTTGAAAATGAAGAGCAATTTTTTGACTTTATGAACATGAAAGCATTCGCGCACTTACGTTCTATGACCTTTATTGGTTCACCTGTATATTCTTATCAATTTACCCGCATCTTGCCTCGGGTCTCTTGAACCATTGAATCGCTCGTTATCGTTTTCCGCCTAAACATCTGCCCTGTTCATGTTCATTACATGAGTGAATGCGAGCTTCCTGTGTGAAGCCTTTCTGGTCGCTCACTAACACACTTTTTTATTCCTACACTGAAAACTGTATACGCTGATAGGTGGGCGTTTACCGATCGGTTACAGAACCCAATCCTCCCGTTGAGCCTTGGACCTCTCTTTCAAGCCGCGCTAGCAGTCGCACAGCGGCTAATGAAATAGGCAGAATGACATTACCGACAAAGACAAGGTGGAATGGAATGACCATTTCTGAATCATTAGCTGTCATAGCAAGCCATACCCAAACCAGAGGTGGCAACGTCTGAGACTCGAACCCGTGACTTTGTTCAACGCTATAATTACTGCGCGACTGCCTCTTTGCCTTACCGTTTTCAGTCGGGAGTATACACAATAGTAGCGACTAAAGATATGGGCCAATGATATAGGCCTTGGTTTCTTCTTTTATATGCTTTTTTTGTTGTCGGGAGAGGCTTTTATTTCACGAGTTACACTGCCCCCATGCAATTCGTGCAGAATGGCCGTAACGAGGCATTTTTCCTGCGTTAGATGGAAAGAATGTCACCAACCAAATACTAAAGATTTCCTGCTCAACATTTCGCGGCATCACCTTTTTTGCGGAGGGTTTCAACGCTGCACCTCTATTTTGCATGACAGACGCCATGCATGCTTTTCGACATTGGATATACTGTCAATCACTTCTGAAACAAATAACTGATGTTATCATTCGGAATAAGGAGACAGATACCCATCACTGACGCCACCCCCTGGACACACTGACTGCAATTGCAAACTTATCGTAAATCTCTTTTGGTAGCCTGGAGCCACACTACAATTTCCTCGTAGCGAATGTTGTATTTTCTGTGTCTTTTAGTTTAACTGGTTGTTACTGCCATCGTTTTAAGTTGCCAAAGGTAGTGTTAAAAAGAGAATAACGCCGGGAATTTTTAAGCCTATGCCAAAACCATTTACGTTTTCCTAAATTAGAGAAATTATTTTTCAACGCCGTGTTGTGGTTTTCCTTTGAACAAAACCTGCCTTAGTTTCAGCAGCGAGTGCTTTGATTTCTGTGGCTTTAAAAAACCCTATTATCTTTGCTAGACTTCTCTCCTGTATGAACGATTGCAGAGGTCATTCATTGCAAATGACGCCATTGCTGCCGTCTTATTTCTTTTATGTGGCGTTGTAGGATCGAAGGCGTAAGTTCAAAATAAAATGTCCCTATAAGGGTATTGTCGCGTCAGTGGAGAGCAAGGCCGTAGCACGCATGGCTTTTCATCTGGAACAAGTTGGACATTTAGATCTTTAATCTTGTGAAAATTACGGTAGCTGTCGGCGTCCTATTTTTCTACAAGTTACCTTAATCGCGGTTTTATTTAGACTATTGAGAAACCAGCTGCTCACCAAATTTTTCTGTCCTTTTTCAATTGTTGACGTGCACTTCATGGTTACACTTTTACGAATGTTTACAGTGATTAAAAATTGTCTGAATGTCTGATATTGGGAACCTACGCGATCAACTTTGTTTCACTCATTTGTTTCAAGTTCACTGCTATTTGCGCAACTGGTTCCTATATAATTACCTCCTAGTGGTCACCTACTACTAACCATTTTTTTAAACAAGTAACTCCCCTAGAGAAGACAAGAGTCAGAATGAGAAGGGGCGTTCATCGGGCGTTCTCCTTCTGACTTACCACCTGGGAATGGAATTTTCGCTACTATTACGGTAGACAAGAGTTTTAATTCCCGTCCCTTCTACACGGCTTTTTTCCGAAAATGGCGATAGCGCTAAAACCGACATTAGGTAAGAACTGCTAAGCCTCACCGATTGAATCTGTATTTCGCGAGCACGTTCTTTTACACGTGGCACATGACTTAAGAACATTTGTGCATGCAGCCAGGTAGGCGTCTGTTCACTCGGCGTCATAACCCACCATCGCTACTCAAGTATTTTTTTCAGCACACACTCAGTCGTCTCTCCTATTT